AATGGGAGGGAGGGAGGGAGGGAGGGAAGGAAGGAAGGAAGGAAGGAAGGGAGGGAGGAAGGAAGGAATTCCTGTAAATTCTACATGTAGTTTTCTTCTTAAGTAGTGAGATGTGGCTATTACAATTTTCTCCTGGGACTATTATTATTATTTTGATTTTCCAATCTCGTCTCCGTTTCTGGACTTCCATAATAAACTGTATCCAAGGTTAAATAGAACCCAGGTTAACTCTTTATGATAAATCACGATCTAGCATAAACTGCCCTTTTGCTAAGCAATATGCGCATATTAACATACATAAGCAATTTCAAAAATTCTTTCCAGAACAGTGGTATGCTCATGATACCTCCTAGAGTATGCCATCTTCTATTCTTGAGACCTCAATCCCGTAATAATCCATTTCTATTTCCTCCCCAAGCCCCGGATTTAATGTTCCGCCATGATGGGAATTTAGCATTTTAAGTGTTTTGAAGAACTCATTGCAGGTTTATTGGGGATCGTTGGGGAAAGAACCATATGGCTGTGCATTTTGAAGTTTACAACTTTTGCTGAAACAACTGGTTCATTTTCTGCATAGCAATTTACTAATACAGAATAATAATTGGCACGACAAGATAGACTTCCCTGGTTGCTTCTCTGTGGACATTAAGCCAGGTCCTAGAGGTTCTGAAGGCAGAGATGTCAGTAACCACTGACATCGACAGCCAGCAACCACTCAAAGCTAAGAATCTCTTGAAATGTGGGGAAAGACAGGACATGAAAGCCATAGTTGAATTGTGAGTAGGAAAGAGTATCCCACTTGCACGCTGAAAGAGAAGAAGTCAATCCCCATGTCAACTAAAAAATAATTATTTGGTCTTTTTAGTTGCCAGCAGTAAGGAAATGGGGGAAATAGTGCATTCCTCAAATGCTTCAGATAATTGTTTAGGCAGCTGAAGCTGTTGGCGCGCAAGATTATTACGGGAGAGCATGATTGATGACTTTTGGCTATGGATGTGTCCCATTGGAGAATATACATCCAGGGGTTGGATGACCAGGGTCAAGGGGGAAATGAATGATCTATCTTAGTGTCGGCTGCACCCAGGTAACACCGATATGACCACTTCTAATAAATCATCATTATTATTTTTTACTCAGAGAGATGTAGCTAGAGACTTATGATTTGAATGGGGGTGGATTTGTCGGAGCCCTGACAGCCAGCCGACACTCCAAAAATTCATCATTCCGGGATACCTGACCCCTGGCCTCTTCAATTGCTTCCCGACATCTGGAATGCATGGAGAGAAAGTCAGGTTAACGTGACAGAACAAGGGGGCTGTCAGAACAAGGCCTACTGGAAGCCGCCCAGCTACAAAGAGAAACTGAGGATGTAATCACAGGTGAAGCCGAGAGGCCTGAACAAATAAAGGAAACAAAAAAAAAACCCCACAGCTTCGGAAGGTGAGCTCCCCCAACCAAAAAAGGGAGGAAGTGGGGCCTTCCCTGGGCTCCAGAGGTTTTTCTGGGTGAAAACAGCCTCCAGAGGCTCTGTGGAGGCTGGAAATGGCCCTGTTTCCAGCCTTCTGGAGCCTCTGGGTGGCCTGCTTTTTACCCTCCCCGATTTTCCATGCGGGCCCTGCCCTTACCTGAGATCCAAAACAGGCCACATGGAGACTGCTGGGAGGGGAGGAGAATGGTGGGCAGGGCCAGCCAGTCATTGCAACTACCGATTCCACAAACCAGATGTAAAATTAACAACCGGTTCACCTGAACTAGTGCAAACCAGTCGCAGCCCAACCCTGCATCCGTCTAGATTGCAATTAGTAGAACATGAAGGATCAAAAAAGGTTAGTTGATCCAGCCAAGTAATCACTAGGGATACAGTTAGGGTCAAGGGATCAATTCCACCATTTTCGTTGCAGTCCACCACTGAACCTTCTCGAGAACTTCCTCAATCTTCCCTTTCTTCTGACGTATTAGACACCTTTCTTAGTTTTGTGTCTTCTGCAGTTGAGATGTGTCCTTCAGCTCTTGAGACCAAGTGGTGAAGCTTTTTACACATTAACATAGTTCCCACCCAAGGAGGAGATCTTACACCATTTCTGACAGTTGGCAGTCCAATCTCTTCTTGAAAGCTTCCAGTGATGAAGCTCCCACAACTTCCGAAGGCAACTTCTGTTCCATCGGTTGATTGTTCTCACTGTCAGAAAGTCTTTCCTTATTTCCAGGTTGAATCTCTCCTTGTTGAGTTTCCATCCATCATTCCTTGTCTGGCCTTCTGGTGCCTTGGAAAATAGCTTTTATGGGATATGTTTTACTACCGATATATGAAAATAGTTTTACAACAATGAGGAACTACTAAAATGTTCCTGACATCAATTGTCTCTCTCTGTCTCTGTCTCTGTCTCTGTCTCTGTCTCTCTCTCTCTCTCTCTCTCTCTGTGTGTGTGTGTGTCTCTGTCTGTCACTCTCTCTCTCTCGTAGCAAGTGCCCACTTACTTGCTCCACATATGACCACTTTTTGCAACCTTCTGACGAGCAAAGTCAATGGGGTATTCAGATTCACTTAACAACCGGGTGTGTAACTTATCTACTGCAGTGATTCACTTAACAACTGTAGCAAGAAAGATTGTAAGATAGGGCAAAGCTCACTTAGCATATGTCTTACTTAATCACAGAAATGTCAGGCTCAATTATGGTCATAAATCAAAGACTACCTGTAATCCATTTGTGGGCCTTCTCCAATACAGATGTCTACAGATTCTCAGCTCTTCCTCTTGTTGAGGATGGAAAGGACATTTGCCTTCCATGGAGGGAAGTAAGCAGTGGGGTGCCAAAAGGTTCCATCTTAGGCCCAGTACTCTTCAATATCTTCATTAACGATTTAGATGAGGGAATAGAAGGAGAACTTACCAAATTTGCAGATGATACTAAGCTGGCAGGAATAGTTAACACCCAAGAAGATAGGCTCAAGATCCAGATGGATCTTGACAGACTAGAACACTGGGCCATATTTAACAAAATGAAATTCATTGTAGAGAAAAGTAAAGTCCTACACTTAAGCAAGAAAAACCAAAAGTACACATATAGACTGGGTGAAACCAGGCTCAATAGCAGTAACTGTGAGAAGGATCTTGGAGTCTTAGTGGACAATTAGCTAAATATGAGCCAGCAGTGTGTAGCAGCAGCCAAAAAAGCTAATGCAATCCTAAATTGTATTAACAGAGGGATACAATCATGATCAAGGGAAGTACTAATATCACTCTGTAAAGCCTGAGTAAGATCACACCTAGAGTACTGCATCCAGTTTTGTTCACCAAGATGTTGAGGCTCTAGAAAAAGTACAGAAAAGAGCAACCAGGATGATTAGGGGACTGGAAGCTAAAACATACAACGAACGGTTGCAGGAACTGGGCTTGGCTAGTCTAGTAAAGAGAAGGACCAGGGGAGACATGATAGCGGTCTTCCAATATCTGAGGGGCTGTCACAGGGAGGAAGGGGTCAAGCTATTCTCCAAAGCACCTGTAGGCCAGACAAGGAATAATGGATGGAAACTGAACAAGGAGAGATTTAACCTGGAAATAAGGAGAAACTTTCTGACAGTGAGAACAATCAACCAATGGAACAGAAGTTGCCCTCGGAAGTTGTGGGAGCTTCATCAGTGGAGACTTTCAGGAAGAGATTGGACTGCCATTTGTCAGAAATGGTGTAGGGTCTCCTGCTTGGGTGGTGGGTTGGACTAGATGACCTACAAGTTCCCTTCCAACTCTGATTATCTGTTATCTGTTATCCTCTAGTCTTCTGGGACCTCGCCAGACCTTCTGTCAGATGGTGCTCCATTCAAAATCCAAGAAAGAAATACTTAGACTCCATTAATTAGAGAAAAGATATCTTTTACTGGAGGTCAAGTGGTAGCAACAAAAGAATTCTGAATCTGAGAAAATGGGCACGTAAATCACATATACAAAGTGATGGCAACGTTCCCACCCCCAATAGTTCAATTGGCTCATCCAATTAAAAGTTGCGTATAACATCATGTGGGCATCTCCAGGTGATGATGAGGCCTCTGTCCATTGACCTTGGTATATTTTGGTAAAGAGTGGCAGCTGCGCATAGCATAGGATAGAAGCCTAAGCAAGAACTACCCCGCCCCGTTCAAGTTATACAGTTCTGTTTTGTAACACCTCCAGCTCGCTTCCCATAACCATGTCCCCCCTCCTCCCCCTGTTACTTATGACAGCTGAAAGATGCAAAGCAAAGGAAGAAAATCTTGAAGGCTGACATTTAGCCCTCCTGCAAAAGAGGCGTTAGTCCTATAAAAGATAAAAATAGAAGATAACAGAAAATATACATGTAACACCATAATACTATATTTTAGGGTTTTTCAGGATATTTAGTACGAAATGCCTTGACAAGCTTAGGAGCTC